CTGGAGATGCATCTGCTTCTTTACGCTGCAGGCTCTGCATGTGCAGATGAGCTCTGCACACTCAAAGCTAGGATCTGACAAACAAGTCTCTGGTAGTCTCATCTCTGACAAAAAAGTGGGTATTGCTCCTACAACAACTCTTTAGTAAAATGGTGTGAATAAAAATAAAAATAGGTGTGCCCATTTAGCATTTCAAGGCAAGATTATGCACGGAACGCAGCTTATACAAAGTGATAGCACTACAAATRACAACCCACTGCCACACTTGCACTACTACAAGAAACAGCAGGTGCATTTATGCCAGTTCATTGTTTCTTGAGAGCCCTTCAAGTCAAACTATCCCGTCTTGCTCACAGTGGTATCAGGACTATCTAAGCTATGCGATAACCAACATCATACCAAGTCTTCATGAAAGCTACTTCCCATTAAAGAAGGATCATTTCCCAGTTAAAAGGATTTTACATCTAAGCCACTTGCTTGACATTACACCAAGAAAAGCAGTCTTTTGTGTATATATATATATATATACACACACACACACACACACATCTTTAGACATTTAGTTTTGACCGAGTACAGATCTGTTTTGTATTTCATGACAGCTGTCAATATTTGGCATTGAATCTAAGTTTTATATTATATTGAATAGAATATTAAATTATACAGCATTGAAGAGGCTCATTAATAGACATCTGTCCAAAATTTTGACAGGCACAGATGCCAAATGAAAAAGTAGGTCRCATTTTAAGATCAGTTTCTAAATTCAACTTACTTCAGTTTGATGAGGTGACATGATGGAATGTTCATAACCACACATGGCCAAGTGCAAGTTAATTAACTCAGGTTGTCCGTGTACATAAATATGGACATATACACGGACACATATACACCTCTAACATTTCAAGAAATCAAAACATATACTGAAAAGTTCAGTTTCTTCAATATCCCCAATATGGCCTATCCTAGTCTGTGAAAAAAACCATATATATGTTGACAGAAAGCTAATTAAGCCTTATTGCACAATAATGCAAAACTACTCTCATCTGATGTGAAGAGGCTCACATGCTTCGCAAACAAGAAACACTGAGAAGGTTTTCCAACAATGCAAGTTTATACTTCGGAAATTCTATAAATTTATTGGAGAATTTCAATAAAAGACATGCTTTTTCACCTTGTCTATTTCAGAAGGACATGGAAGAGAATCTAGCATCATTAGACAGCTGCATTTATCTTGATCAGAACGGATTTTTTTTCCRAAAGTGCTGCATACCTTAAGAACATTTTCAGAGTAATTTGAAAAAGCCCATTTCCCTATTCATCCCTCCTCTTCACATTCTTTAAAACATGATTCTCTTTTAGCAATTTCATTTAATCGCTGGCAATATTATCATCTACGTAGTACTGAAAAGAAGCGGTAGATTAGTTTCTTCCCTTATACATCATAAACAATTCAGGAATGCTGACCCTTTAACTTCACCTGTGTCATGTCACCCCAAGGGTGAAAGGGTCAGCTTTTAGCAGCCTGCTGCTGCTTAAAGGGAGAGGGGGAAAGGAAAGGTCCTACTCTTCCCCACTTGACCCTTCTCTATGTTCCTCCCTACTATGCTCCTATTACTGTGTCTCCTTCAAAGCACTTGATGTTCCTCACTCTGCAAATTCAGCTCTTACAAAGAGCAAGGAGATAATTTTCTGCTGGATTTACTAGCTGAACCTGCTCACAACTGTATCGCATCAGCACCAGTCAGCAGCTGCATGACGCGTAAAAGAAAGAAGGGAGSACTCTCTGTTTGGAACCTATAGGTAACGTCGAGATATTACTTAGAGGGCTCAGTATGGCTTGCACAGTATTTATTCCTGCAGAACAGAACTCTTTTAAGCCTGCAACATGAAAATTGGGCATGCAAAGTTACAGAAGAAATACAAATTGAACACCTACACACTTCACTTTGGAAAGAAGTTTCAGATCAGTGAAACACAACATTAGTATTGTTGCTACAGTGACTTCTAACCAGGAGACTTATTTCAGCATATATTAGGGAAGTCTACATTTTTTAAAATAAAATCTGTCAAGAGTATCTTCTCTACTTGGCTATGTTTCTGTTTTCACAGAGATATGGATTCAGCAAAGGCATTACAATTTATCAGAAGAGTAAGAACTCCAGCCCGTACAAAAGGGCATGTTTCTAGAGGAGTTAAAACAAATTCCACTCATTAGAAAATGACTTTTCTTTTGGTTGAAATTTTGCACTTYGTGCACTTTTTTCGTTAATTAAAACACTTCCAAGGAATGAGAAATCAAAATTGGGATGAACTTTACTGTAACATTCACTGCTTGCTTCATGCTTAAGTCAAGCCAGAAATCAGCAAAAAAGTTGTCATCTTTGTTTACTAAACTGCCTGTTTTGATAGAACTTGARAAGAATGATTTTCACCAGTTCATCTTCCCTAGTATTTCTTGTACAAGGCCAGGCTAGGTTACCACATGAATACGGTTTACCTGAATAGTGCCAAAATACTAGATACRAAGGGCTCCTACATTTCTGTGCAGCTTAGATCTAATAGAAGGTGCATTCAATCTGCACATTATTAAACCAGGGATTGACAGCCAAAAAGCCATCACTACAATAACAATGGCAAATTTTTAATGTATAAATACACATACACACCCCAGAAAACCAAAACAAAACCATCAAATAGATCATACAGCAAACCTAAGCAAAAGAATAAGCCAATAACCTGGAAAACAAAATTAAAAAGTAGAAGTTTATTTAAACCATCCCAAGTATTTTAAATGTCTCCCAAAAACAAACCTCATGTAAGTGGAGAAAAAAAAGATGCAATTTACTTACAGTGGCAAGTAAGCTGTCCTGCCCAATCATGACTTAAATTTTTTAATTGCCTTAAGAACTATAGCCAATAGAATACAAAATTACCATATGAACAGAACAAATCAGAAATGCAATAAGCTACAAAAACTAAACTACAGAATCTCTCTGAAAAACTACACAATACCCCTCCATCCCACCCAAAACATCAAYCTCCTTAAGGTACAGCAAGCATGTTTATATTTCATCTTTCTGATTACACTTTGATACGCACAACACAGCCTAGAACTCAGAGCAGATTTCTCTCTCAAGAGAGGGTATGCATTTTTCGCTGTGGCTAAATAAAAGGTATTTTCGCTTTTATTAAGACAATGTTAAGAAAGGGCTAARCTAAGTTGTCTGACAATTGCTTTTCTAACTCAGAAAAAAATGCACTTTAAAAACCAAGAGCACACCCAGAATGATATATAAAACCAGACGAAATAATATACTCCTTACRTAATTTCTTAAATGTTCCTTCAGAATTGAAAAATATACATATGAACTTTGGGCCTGCAATTTTGAATGTGTTTGCCATAGGTCAAATGCCTAACATCAGGATAAAACTATAGGCAGCTCTCTGTAGAAATGAATTTGGAAAAGACTCTCACTCAAGATGCAAAGAAGTTGTAGTCCCACAAGTCCTAACACAAAAACAGAGAAAAACCCCACACCTCAGCCTAGTCAGCTGGCTTACTTGCATATCCMGCTCGTGTTCTGTTTGTCACATCTCAAAAGAAATAGATATTTTCCTCTCTTCTACAGGGTTTAACTCTTATATAGGTTACTTGAATGATTAGGTAATGTTCCTTCAACCCTTCAAAGCCTGCAGTTTTCCTTTAGTAGTATTCAAAGCTGAAGACAGTAGTCGAGAAAGGGGATAATAAAGATGATAAACTAACCTTCTCAAAAAGAAACAAAACAGACAGTTTTCTGTTTCTCAGTTTGGTCTCTGTTGGAGACATAAGTCATATCTGAAATCTTCTAAAAATCACAATGCTGCAGAAACAGAACCCAAGACCTCTGAAAGCACAAGCCTGAGGGCTCRAGTAGTAGGAACAAGCACAATCTAATTCAGCTTCTCTCCTTTCTCCTGCCCTTCTTTCCTAATTTAGTAGCCAGTCACCATTCAGCAAGAATAAACATGATGAGTTACAGGACCCCATTAAGTTCCATCCACAAATTCACTGTCTGTATTTAACCATAATTTTCCAAAACAATGAACAAAACCCAATTTCCTCCTTTTAAAACTAAGGTTTTTGGTGACCCATTGTTTCTCACTAATTCTTTATTTCTTCATATTATGGTCAACTTGGTTGTCCCTTTCTGGAAAGGCCCTGTGCTACATTACAAATGAAGTTAGTTTGTAAAGAAAGTTTTATTTGAAGGTATAATACCCAGATATCGCAATGTGAGAGTGAAAACACTGAGAATATTCAATAGCAGAGATATCTAATTTGCCTATTTACTGCATCTTATTTTATAAATCTAGAAATTTTAAAAATATTAAAAAGTATGCACATAGGCCAAACTATATCCAATCACATTTATAAGAATCTTTAAAAGATAATGCAACCAGATTTAGTCATTTTTAATAAAAAAATTAAAAACTTCAGCTTTTCAAAGAATTCAAATACAGCACCAAAAGACTCCAACTGCCAAGAGAATCCTTGATTTCTGATGTATCTAATTTAGAAGTTACATATAGGAAAATTCTGAGTTAATACTTGAACCATAAGCAAAACAAATGGCAGAAGAAACCAACACCTCTAAGTAAATATATTCACACACCCTTCTATTAGTGCAGAAATTGTGGTTGTTTTACTGCTGACTACAGCTGTTTTTTGGCTGAAATACTGGTTGATTTAGCAACAAAATCAAAGCTCATTTTCCTCTACGGATGCAGCTTTTCACCTTTCTACCCTCTTCACTTTTCACTCCCCCTATATTCATCATATATCATAAGACAATGCGGCTGTAAAGAAAACTGCTTGCCCTAAAGAACCCAAACTAAAAACAGAGATTAAGATTTTATGACAATGTTTTAAAGTTATTAAAGGCATACAATTAAAACTGCATAAAATAGACTAAATTGAACCCTTGTTAAGATAACTGATGATTTTTTCAAAATGTTACCTCAACAATATCTGAGTTGGTTCTGCTTTCATGGGGCTCGTTGTATTCTGTGTACTTAAGAAGAACTTTGTCCATATCAGTGCTGGCATACTGAAAGAGTTTGTTAGAGCTGTTAAAAATGATGAGTGCTATTTCACAGTCACAGAGTACACTCAACTCATAGGCCTTCTTCATTAATCCAAACTTCCTCTTCGTAAAGGTGACCTAGAGAAGAGAGAATAATGATATTTTTCCCCAAAAAGGATCAAGTTGTGAAGGATATAATCAAGCACTTGAAAAAACACAAGAAGATAGTTTATTCCTACTAATAAAATTACACAACACGTACAAACTTGAGAAGGATTGTTCGTCTTATCTAGGTATTACAGTTCTTAAGAAAATAATTACAGCTGTGCTTTTTAGGGTAGATGTTCCATATTGGAACAAGCTAAAACATTATTTGCCTTTACCAGCCATCTAACTCTACCCACTGTCATGTAACTACCAGAGAGTTAAAGTCTGGAAGATTCCCTAACCCCATTTCCTGTGTTCAACCAACAGRGAGACTTTCCTGGTATTATAATATTTCCTTTTGTGATTGTCACTGTTATTTTGTAACACTCATACTCATGAAACTGTACTCACAACCTTAATTCTACTAAATCAAAATTAAAGCTAACAGCAGCAATATCAATGGAAGCAACATTGTTAGTATGCAATATAATTTCTAATTATGCAAAGCTAACAAAGCTTTTTTTTTTTTTTCTGCTTAAAAAAAATCTAACCAGATTCTTATAACTTGTGCAATTGGGTTGTYTTGGGCTATTTGGCCAAGTCATAAAACAAGTATTCTGTCCAGTTAAAACCATTCTGGAGGAGTAAACTCATTATAGAACAGTAAAAAAAGAGCATTTGYCACAGGGAAGGAAAAAAGAAAACAAAAAAAACTTTAACACAAAAAATTCTGTCAATTATTAAGAAAAAAAAGTGGATTTTTTTGATGTTTTGGGTTTTTTGTTTTTTGTTTTTTTCAGATTTATTCCTTGCACAAAATTACACCTAATGATGTTAGAGAGTTGGTGTATTTTTAAATTCCCCTTCAGCTACAGGTCTGATGTCAAAGCTAACGTAAAGGACAATGTTTTTACTAAACTTCCTCCTAAGTGACTTAAACAGGCACTTAATCTACTTCTTTGAAATAAATCTTCTGAGACCTTTTAGAAAAAGGTGCTATTTTCAGAACTAGCAAAATTTTAATCTGTGCTTCTGGGTATAATGCAACACTTATGTCTGAAGTCACATTCACAGCCCCCATTACAATTCAAGCTCCAAGCTTCTTACGATAGGCAAATAAGATGCATTCTATACATTTAGAAGTTATTAATCAGGATATTTTTGCAAAATTGGAATCAAGCAAAGCACAAGAAACAGCAAAACCTGTTTTAGAAGCTTCTATAGTTTAAAACGTTGAACACTTAAGCATACATCAAGGCTACTTAACCTGCCTATTGACTTACTTTCTTTTCTATCTTCTGTCTGGCTATTTTAATTATAAGCTCTTCAGCTAAGGTGTATTTCTCATTTTGTTTGGCTAGTGTTTATCAGAAGCCTGTCCTGTTGGAGTTCAGGCCTTGCAGTAAAGCACACCACTTACTATAAACTCAGTGTTCTTTAAGAAGTCTGCATTAGTCCTGCAAGTTTCCCTTAGATTTTTTTTTTGCTGTATTTACAAAACACACTAAAAATGAACATGAGCATCTTCAATGCAGGGCAATTGCTTCTTCAGTAATACTGTAATATTGTTTAGTGAAAAGGGGAGGGGGACGGTGGCAACGAGAGCAACATTGAGCTCCTTTGATATCTAATTTACTGCACTTAATTCTCTTCGGCTTGACGAACATACGTGCCCTACAGCTCAAGTTGATGAGCGCTTAATTAATAATATAACGATGGTCTCATGATAATTGCAACCCCCCAGAGTAACGGTCTATAGTCTGTTTTGAGCTGACTCACAAATCACATGTGAAACAAAAAGCTTCTGTTGAAACAACAGCTTTTCTTCCCACAGAAGCCGTAAGAACTTGCTCTTGCAGCAAAGTTGTGCTCCATCCTACTCCTATTTCCAAATGAAAAAACATCACAGGAGAACTTTACCTACTGTTTGTGAATGAACTACTAACCAGCTACGTGTGCTGCAGAAAAACCAACAGAACACAACTGAACTCTGCTCTCCTGCTGGCCAAACAAATCTTCAATACCTGTTTTGCCTAGGTCAAGGAAAAAGTTCCTCAGCAGTAAAACAATAATTACTGCATATACTGTACATCAGGATACCTTAATATGTCAAAACTGGATACGATGTCTGACAGAAAAACTAGATGCAAGCAGCCTTAAACATCACCATCAATAGCTCTATCAAATTTACTGATAAAAGCTCTGTAATGCCTTTAAAAAGGAATTATCTCTAGGTTTTTAGGGAAAAAGAAAAAAGTTCAATTCGCTTTTAAAAGCTAGAGCCTAAAATCTTTTCCTAGTCATTACAAATAGCACATTACAGTGCCAGTCAAACAGCCAGAAACAAAACTTCAAGTTCAGTCTCCTATTTATTTCTGGCATAAAGTAAGGAGCTGGTCGGCAACTATAATTTCAAGCAGAACAATCAAGGTTACCCAACTTCTTTAAAAAAAAAAAAAATCTCAGCTTGCCTGAAGTTCTAGCGTAAATTCTGAAACAACTAAAATTATTAATTCAGTTACTTTTACTATGTGTATTTAAGTCATTTATCTACATCAAACATAGAGTTATTGTGTAATTAAAGCTGTTCAAACACAATATCTGGCTTGCTCCCAACCTACAATAATACTTTTCTTGCTATATATAGTGTCCCCAGAGTTTACATGGCTTTAAAGTGACACTGGGAAAAAATAGCCCTGATTTCACACAGGAAGCAAAGGGCTCCAACCAGGTACGCTGGGAGCAGGAGAGTCTCACAGGGCTCCATTACCCAGGACTCCACTAGCTTGGTGCTCAAGAAGTGTTAAAAAGTAACCCAGATATTATGGAGGAAGAGAGAATCAACATCACTACTAAATGGCTCCATGATTTGGATTCATCTTGCATGCTCTGTGCAATGTTTCTTAAAGGAACAGGAAACAGACCTATTAAATTTCCCAAAAATGTTGTAAATTTTACCTCTTTAAAGCTCAAGGGATGACTAGACAAGTTTGATTGGGGCGGGAAGACAGGGGGAGAGAGAGGAGATGACTGCATTAATAGTTATTAAAATATACGGAAACCACATCAAGCGCAGGAAATCCCTGAACTAAGAATAGTCCAGTGCTAGAGGAGAACAGAGGGTAGCATAACATGTGCAAGTCTCTTCATCTTGCTCTTCCCTGGTCATTCATTTATAACTGCCTCTGGAGCAAAAGTATTAGACTAGCTGCATCTTGCGTGTCTGACATATTATAATTACTCTTAATGGCAATTCATTTCTACAATACTTTTCCYTATTTCATTTTTTAAAATACTTCAAAATATATTTAAATATAGTTTATTATCCAGTGTAAATAGGATCCTGATTCCGTTTTCAGCTTAAATGTGCCCAGTAGCTATCAGTTCAAATAAAATRCCTGTTTCAAAAAAGTCATCTCTATCGTCCTCCATCTTATTAGAATGTGCAAACTAATACACCACTTCAATAGATATACTACTTATACAATGAATTTGCTCTGATGTAATCRGTATTATTTACAATAACAGTTTTCCATAATTCAGCAGTAAARCTATTTAAAAGACATTCATTATTTGTAGTCTGGTAACCCCATCACACATGATTATAAAACTCTGCATGAAAAGACTGATTTAAGAAAATTAACCTATTTAAAGTTTCCATTCATTGCTCACTCACCTGTCTATTCCGTTCATCCATTATTCTTGTGATCTGTATTTTCTTTCGCCCCATTTTGATTCTCTTCTTTCCTTTGCTTTACAATCCAGAAATATATTAATCCAAGAAATTTCACTCTTCAGTATTCTAACACATGATACAGTTTTCTTCTACTTTGTCTTCAACTTGATGAAAAGTTTCCTTCTTGTTATAAACCCCTAAAAAAAAAAAAAAAGAAAAAAATCAAGGTTTAAAAGTTTAGTGTCATTTTCTCTCTAGCAATTTGCAAGTTCAATATAGTATAGCCATACAATAGCATAAAATTATTCCAGTGACCACTAAGATATGCTGGAGAAAAGGGGTCTGAAAGAGAGCAAAGGAGGAAGGGGATATATCTTTACTTAGAAAGAGTAAAGGACTTAAAATTCATTTTCCCAACAGAACTAATTAACAGTTACCAGGATACCAACAATCAAAAATTCACAAGGTTACTCTTCCTACGTTAACCTACATATCACACGTTTACCAACAAACCACTTATCRGTTCAGCACTTTGGTTAGAAAGGTTTGGTTTAGAAAGGTTAAGGTACATGCAAACTTGAAAAACAAGGGCATATATTCTTTCTCTCTTGTGCTACGTACCAGTCAATTTGACTTACACAACACTGATATTAAACATCCTATTCATTTTCTGTTTWAAAAAAAAACATGCTAAACATACTGATTGTAGAATAGCAGCTAGCATCTAGAACATGAACTGAACACTATCTTTAAAACATTACTAAGGCACAACTTATTCAAAATACCTGTTATTACCTAATACTCATCAAAATTTCACACAAACAGGCACAGAATTAGTTCACAACCTAACCTTCCAACCCAAAATGCCTTTCAAAGCCAACTTTTGGGTATTTTGTTACAGGCGTTGCACTTGTCAAAAGTGGTGCAACCACATCACCGTCAGACAGCTAATAAGAACAGACAGCTAAAGGCGATTAGTCACTGGTTACACTTCACTGTACACCCAAATCTACGCTGAAGAAACAACCATGACGAGCTGAGGCTGATGCAGCTTTGGTGGGGAAAGAGGCGAAGCACATCACAAGATGGAGAAGCAATTTTTACATTAGTGAAGTATTTTCTCAGGGTATTGATTGATTTTTGAATCAAGCACTTGAGCAATACATGGAATCTTAGATTTAATAGCTCTTCATCAAATTCTCTTCCATAAATATTTCTTCTGGATGCTAAAAGTTTACATGGATTCAGAGGCAAGGATTTGCACAGTTAAATTATGTATCACAATAAAAGATGCATCCATTTAAGTCTATCCTGCTAATTATATCCGACATCCCCAGTTGCTGCATTAGATGAGTGCCCCCCTCGCATCAGTCCTGATTTTAAGGCTTGCACTATGTCTTCATTTAGCTTTTTAAAGTCAAAAGAAATAATCCTACTCAATCAGTCCTTACACAAAAGCCATACTCCGCCCAGCCACCCTGTTCTCCTCTCTCCCTTTCCCGCTACTCGCTGTAGTTTCTCAAATGAAAGGACCAATAGCATTCACATTATTCAAGACACTGGGTATATAAAATTTATGGTAATCTATCATAAATTTATACAGAGGCATAATAATATATTATGTTCTGCTGAGTTACACATTCACTCAGGCAAATTTCATACTTCTCTTTTTTCTGCATCAAGAACAAATGATTCAGTGCTCCAGAACATGATTTGCAAATTGCTCTTTGAAACCACACACTTTCTTTCTACAGTCCTATCTCATTCACTCATACCTTCCATCTCCTACAGGAGATATTTAAAGGCAAGACTATGCAATGAATAAAATGAGCTTATGGGGCAACAGAGTAGATGAGAGGGGAAACATGATCATGTAATACAATTAACACATGTGATTATGTACATTACAATACACAGTGCCATGACAAAATGAGAAATGCACAGACATTTTCCATGAGCTAATGTAAGAAACAATAGCAGCGAAATGTTATTATGTGCTMCAGGAGCCAGCACATGAACGGATATGAGGAACTGAGTCATTTTTGCCAACATTTTGTTAAAGTTTTTGGATAGTATTTCAGATTTTTAAAGTTGGTATACTCTACCAGGTAGAATCTCTTCCAACAAATCCTTTTCTCAATTGCCATTTCCATGTCATCAGTCTTGCTTGACTCTTATCTGAAGTCTAGCACTGCTCTTCCAGATCAAACACTTCTCTCRCTTTGCAGCCCACAAACTACCATTAGCAGATCCATGTCCTTCCTCCCTCTCCAGAGACTGCAGTGGAGAGCACAAACCTGGATCTCCTGCCAAAGGCCCAGCGTTCTGGAAGGCAGCATCCTCTTAAGTCATGATCAACAAGACGATTTTCAAAGTTAAGAAACACAATTTTCATACATGCTTGGAACATTAAAATAGAAGCTACCACCAATAACCAACACACATGACATTTGTTATGGGGCCAATATCTTTTCCTCTTTCTAACCCTTTGTTATCAAGTTTACCTCTCAAAAAACATCAACTAAATTACTTCATACTGTATGTTAATATTTTAAGTTTTATATGAAATTGCAGCATAATTTCCYTCCTTGATCAACAATAATACCGGTGAGATTGTATCCATTAAAAAAAAAAAAAGAATTAGCAACTTTGCGAATGCCACTAAATCACAATTCAACAGCAAAATCACTAAATCAAAGCTGTTCCAAAAATCTTTGGCCAAATACAGGAAAATCAGCAGATATATATCCAAAGTTAAACAACATGAACAAAGGTAAATTTCTACTTCCTTAAGCAACAGAGTCAAATTACGACTACSAAAACTCTTTTAGATCTGTTTTCATGAACACATCCAAGTAAAATCTCATATTTTTTTTCTGTAAGAATTTCAAGCATCTATTAAACTAAACATTAGGAGCACGCCAAGAAAAAGAAGAATAAACGCTTGTGTTTCACGACATTCAAACAGAAAATACTGCCAGTCTGCAGTTAAGTAGGGAGACAAAATTTGCATTAGTAGCTCTCCAAATAAAACCTTTATGAAAATACATATAGATAYATACTCATTCTTCTCAGTTTTGCTGGTTTATTCTCATGCCCTAACATACACGGAAATGACACAGTGGACAGTAAAAGGCAACAGAGCCATAGGCAAAATAAGTTTTGATGACTGCGTATTTTTGAGAGCCCAGCTCAGCTGGCTTCATGTCAACGTCGCACACAATTTCAGAAACAGTGAAAGACACAACTTTAGATCAAATATAGTTTGTACTATTTAATAAGATTGTTTCAAGGGTCCGCTGAACGGCTATATTGGTGCAGAATGCACAAGGCCTTTAAGCCTTCTCAGAGAATGAGTGTGGAACAGCAAGTGGAATGCTGTCCATTTGCTTTCAACTTATATACCTCCACCTCTGAGATGTTTTCTTGGGACTTCCATTTCACACCATCATGGCTACAGATTACATTTGACCATAACTTCATCATCATAGCTCATGTACTGAAATCAATACAAAGAAACAGGTATGAGGATGTCTTAAATTGCCTATTAACTCTCAGAAATCCTAGCTCATGAAAACAACTCCATAGAGATGCATCTTAGCCTGGCAAGCTTTAATCCTAAAATAAGATGCACCACAATTTTGACAAAATTCATGCTAACAAGAATATATATTTATATATTGATCTATATTGATCAAGATGAAAAAGAAGTCTATCACCAGATGCTAACCATTTTATATATACCAGGATAGATAACAGCAAGTGTAAACACATATGTAAAGGGTCACCCGTATTTTTAAGTGGAAATAACTGGTGAAAATTAAGAGTCAAAAAATTCACCAAAATAACTAATCAAAAGGTCAAAAAGGTAGAAAGAACTAGGACAAATCTGTTTCTTAAGAGTTTATTTCATTGTCTTAGGGCAATGAGATAGGAACATTTTCTCCTTCATACTCTCGACCAGAACATAAGCCAATGTAGGACAAGTATACATCTCCAGGCACCTTTTTTTCTTAATTTCATGCTACTCGTACAAGATCTATACACTGGGATCTGCACTGAAACACATTTGAGAGCTCCAGGATTTTATTACTGTTCTAGATGCTCTGCCATCCCCGCTCCAGACTTCATCGCTCTACCACTTACAGAGCTATATTTCAATATAATACTTCAAGCACAGGGACTCTTCCTTCCTATATGTTTTCATTTAACAGGTGAAGCTCAAATTCTTATTTTCCCCCTCTGTCCCAGATATAAGCAAAACAGTAACAAAAATATTGTCTTCAACCACAATTCTATAAGCCCTGTCATCATACAATACCATTGATGAGTAATGTAAAATGCAAGTATAAAATAACTGCAAGTTGTTTTATACTTGTTATCACTGGTTCTCACACGTCTCACAGCAGCACAGGCTTAGGAAATGAATTCTTTCTCCATCTTCATGCTTAAGGTCACTCTTCTAAACCCAAGTAGAGCCTTACAGAAAAAGAGACTGACCTAAGAGCTTCAAGGTCCTCAGCTAATAAGGGATACAGAAATATTGTTATAAAACAATAATACGACCTTTAGCCAAACCAGCTTATTAAAAAAAAAGTGGGACATTTCCTTCCTCAGTAGGAGGCAGCCACCAGGATGTGCCTTCCAAAATGCTGATCATAAGCATTTCTATTAGAAACAGCTTTAAAACATACACTATTTCACACACAAAAGTCATTAAGAACTGCTCTTTCTACAAGAGGCAAAACAAACCCAATGAAATTAATTTTTCACATTGATCTCAGTAGAAATCACTAGGACTCTACTGCTCATCCCACTTGAGAAGAGCCTCATTTTTTAAAAGATGCCCTAAGGATTCAGTCAGCTGTAAAGATCTTTGTGAAGGCAACAGCATTGCCAATTAACTAAATGAATAATACCTGATTGCTSACAACATGGACAATCAAAAAGTCCTTCATAACATCATCTTCATCTTACTGTAGAACATAATAATTGCAAGYTTATCAATAGATTAGAAGAATACAGTTAATTATGTGGGGAAAGCATTGCTAAGACATCACAGTTCCCTACCTCAGTATTTCTACAATACCTCTGCCCCACTCGTTACGTGTACACTCATCTCAAAGAAAATTAGAGCAAACTGGAGGATAGATAATGCATAAATCAGGGAGAGCAAGTGGCTAGAGGA